TCCTGGGAAAAGGAAAAATACACCCTATATATTATATTAAGGGCAAAAAAAAAAACCAGGACCAGCCAATAGCCTGATCGGGTCTAGTCGTCTAGAGGTTATTGTTGTCAACTTGTCATACAACGCGTTAATCCATCTCATCTGAACCACGAACGCGCAAATGATATATACAATGTGTATACGTGTTGAACCGCGTTGATGGCATACTACACTTCATTCTTGGGGTCATGGCCGTCGTCTCTACTGTTCCTCCTCATCACTTATTTATGCCTTTAGATGCTATGCAATGCACCCCTGAAACTCCCTGAAAGATTTTGTTGTCTGTTTTCGGTGTATCAAACTTATCACGTGAAATATTTAGGGCCCGTTTGCTTTGAATCAAGCTAAGGCAGATTTGCCTGGCTCTCCATACATTTCCAGGCATTGGATGTTGTGAGCCTGCAGGGATGGAGATTGCTGCTTGACAGGGCTTAAAGTAAACAAGCCCTTAATATTTAATTTTGCTAGTTTTCATCAAGCACAGTGGAATACTAGAACCTTATACGACATGACTAACTGACGACGAACCTTATTATACATCTTTGTGATGGCCAATCGAGACCCTTGGACCTTGGTTATAAAGTCCACCCCATTGCCGTGCTCACATCCATACACGTTTTGCGGAGGACGGCTTCCAATTCCAAGTCGTCGCCCGGCCGGCCTCCTTTTTCTTTTCTGCACTGCAGGTCCACCGCGTAAAACTGGCGCACTACCTCTCAAGCCCAAACGGTGGCAAAAGAAGAAAAAAAAAGGCGCTCGGGAACCCTCGATCAGGTGTTCAGCGTGCTTATTATACGCAGTAATATTATACTACTATTACTTTGGAGCCTTCGTGTTAATTTTCATAAGACGAGTTATGAAAAAGAATTCTAGAAATTCTCAAACATCTGGCTATCAGTTTAATTGGATATAATTGTCTTTGATAACTACTAGTTTACTGACATGTGCAATTGTCGTTTTCTAATAAGTCAATCAATTTCAAATTTAACCAAACTTATATAACTTGATGTAGAATGTATTACTAACATTGTCCAAAAAAGATACAATTTCGGGTTTACATTGAATCAAATTTGTTCAAGACTAAGTTTATAAAAAATATTATTAATATTTATGACTCGATTTTTTTTTCTTGAATACGTAAAAAATTTGTGTATCATTCTAATTAAGAAGAAGAGTTTAACCATACAAACGACGCACTCTGACGATCGCCCCAGGAGGTCTACTTGACCATCCTAGTGTACAAATTCAAATTTTGATATTACGTAAATGGTACACAACCGAGTTGTTGTCTACGCGCTCCTACTCCGTCATGCGAGAAGAGCACGCCGGTGTACGAGCGGCTCTTCTACCGGTCCTATTGTTGGTCGCTGGAAACAACTTGTCCAGAGCTGCAACTTGGCTCGACGTCAAGTTCCCTATGAAGATGGCGTCGTATGCTCACTTGGAAGCGGATGAAGTTGGTATCACCTGTGACAGGGTGCCCATCCTTTGCATGAGGAGTACCTCGCCACGCTTGGAGGTCGGTATGTGCGCCAGCGGTTGAGCGGCAATCCGTCTGCTCCTGGTTGGCAGGTGCCTTTTGGTTGCCGCCTTCTGCCTTGGTGGAGTGACGATTAAGAGTGACCTTCGCTTGAGCTGCACCTCCTCGGTAAACCGTGCGAGGCGCTGAGCGGCCTCGCGTGGCGTGGGCGTCGCGTCGCTGTCCGCTTGGCTGTCCTTCGTCGGCGTAGAAGGGTCGGGTGTGGCTTGGCCGTTCGAATGGCCGTCTTGCGTCGGTGTAGAAGTACCCGGCTCAAACCCAGGTGGCCAGACCTCACCATCCTCCTCTAGCGCCTCAGCACCCACAACAACGGGTGTCCCATCTGTGGAGGCGTGCCCTGCACAGAGGACAACGGACATGAGTTCGTCATGCACCAAGGAGTTGTCGCCGCAGGACGAGTCTCCACCAACGAAGCTTGAACCTCCTGAGAGGTGGTTGCCGTAGCCTGCAGGCACCCAGACGCTGGTGTGCCGCTTGTCGGATCGCGACGAGAGCGGCGGCAAGCTCGTCTTGCATCGGGTCAACCGAGGCGACCCAAGCGGGAGGCCATGCGCCCTCGCACAGCGCCTCCGCCAGCTGATCTGGCTCGAGGAAACAGCGTGCACGCCCTCGTGCATTGCCGGCAGGCGCACCCATGTTGATGTCCGGTGCCGTCTCACCCTGGCGTTGCCGGCGTCGTCTTCGGCTTTGGACGGATGCCGCCTGCGCGCCCCGCGGCACCCTGCACGGTCCCCTCCGAGGTCGGTGGACTGCCGAGGGTTGCGTGCTGGGTGGCCAATGGGTTGTTGGCACGAGCTGAGCGGCGAGGTAGGCCACCCTATCGGTGCCAACTTGGACCGCTTGCAGTCCCTGGCGAGGTGGCTGAATCCGCTGCAGCGCAGGCAACGCCGTGGCAACCGGTAAGTCGCTACTTGGTGTGAGTAGGATAGGCAGTTGAAGCATGTATCACGAAGCTGTGCGGGAATATTTATGACTCTATCACTATGAAAATATATTTTCTGATTAATCTAATGATAAGTTTTTAATCGAAGTTGATAATATTCATTTAACTTCTTGACAGATATGAGAACGACACTTTCTCTAGGACGGTCGAGTACGTAGAATTATAACTTTCCTTTTCTTTTACGTGGAAGCACACGCAATTTCCTGACCATGACCAAACACCAGCAAAAGCAGAATGTTGCCTCGACTCTCGAGGCGCGCCATCCCATGGCAACTGGACACGTACGAAGCATGCACACCGAGATCAGTTCAGTCCAGTGGGCTGTGGGCCGCCACCATGCTACTCGTCGCCTTCGCGTTAGAGGCGCGTGGATTACGCGCGCCAAATTTGTCCGGCGTGCGCTAGCTCTGCGTCCTTGCCATCTTGTCTCGTCCTCATATGTTTTTTCTCTTTGCTTGTACGTTTGTGACGGCTATTAGTTGATCCTGAATACTATGGCAATGAAGTTACATCGCGACGATTTTTAGTTTGTCTTAAGACAACGAAACAGCTTCATCGTATATGTTTGCATTTGTTATCCAGTTTTCCTGTACTTCAGTCACCTGAAATTTGTGTTTGTTGTTCAGGCGGTGTGTTACGATGTTCACGTAGTATATATGTGATGTTCTATGATGTATTTTGTGATGTTCACGTACATACGACAGTCGCCTGAATTTGTGTTTGCTGTTCAGGCGACGTGTGGTGATGTTTGCGTAGTGTACTTGTAATATTCTATGATGTATTTTGTGATGTTCAGTATAGTATACACGTGATGTTATATGGTCATCACCGAAAAAAGACTATATTTCATGCACCTGAAATATAGCAAATCCTTTGTTATTTTCGTTATAAATTATAAGACGTTTTGACTTTTCTATATACATTGTTTTACCTATCTATCTAGATGTAGTGAAATTGCAGCCAACTACTGTACATTGTTTTTAGCCCCAACTAGTGATTAACTATGTGTATGTGTGTCCAAATATGTCCTAAGTATATTATAAAATCTATGTAACCAAAATATCAAAATAATTTGGTAACAGAGAGGACTTGTCTCTCGACAAAGATGGCTGAGTTCTAATCTAATTTATCTACACGAGTGCAGGATGAGAGAGTCCTACCACTGCCGAAGTGCATGAACTTTGGTTGAAATTTAGCATAAGTGATGCTTATGCCGATTTGTTGGGAGAGAAAAGCAGGTGTTCTTTTGCGAACGAAAAGTACGGGTGAAGTAGTGCTGCAAACAGAGACGGGCACGAATCATGATCAATCGACACTAAGTACTGGTAGGAGTAGTAGACACGAACATAGATCGCCAACGGGCGGCCCGGCACGACGACACGGCACGGGCCCGTGAAAGCACGGCCCGATGGGGGTCGGGCCGGCACGCGCAAGACGACGTGCCTCCCCGGACCGTGCCTCACAAGGCCATGGGCACGGCCTCCGCCCAGCACGCGGCACTATAGGCCGATTTTCGTGTCGGGCGGCCCGAGAAGCACGACCAATTCCACAGCCGTGCCGCCCAAGGTCCACTTGGCGCCAGCGAGAGAGAAGGGAAGGGCGGCGCGCTCGAGGTGTGTAGGGGTCGACTCCGCTCACCGCCGAGGAGATTGACGCCGATCCGGAGGAGGCAGGTAGCGCTTCGCCACTCGCCCGATCCGTTGCACCGGTGCGGATCCGCCGCCCATTGCTTCACCGGATCCACCAGAGAAGGAGGGAGGAGTACGCGGGGAGCGGATCCACCACGGAGGAGGAGAGCCGCCCTGCTCCGTGCTGCCACCTCCTCGGCCGGATCTAGCCGGCCGCTTGCGGGAGCATCATCACGCTGGGAGCGCCTTGCGCAGGGGCAGCGCAAGAGGAGGGAGAGGAGCGCTGTTGTTGCGGCGGGAGAGAGTGGAGGGAGGGCGGAGGAGAGAGAGTGGAGGAGGGAGAGATCGGCGGCGTGAGGGAGAGAGGGCGCCATCCCCGAGAGGTAGGGGCTGGCTAGGGCTCTTAGCAGGCCGGGCTGCCCGAAGCCGCCAAGGGCCTCCGGTTACATTGCGGCCGTGCGATGGCGTGTCGTGCCGGCCCACGTGCACGGGTAAAGGCCTGCACGGCCTGCTCCTCCGGGCGTGCTAGACCCGGGCCCGCTAGCCGTCGGGCCAGGCCGGGCTTGGGCCAGGCAAAAAAAACGCGCTTTGAATCGGGCCGACGGGCTCGGGCTGCATGACCATATATAGACACGAAAAGCGCTGCATTTTACACTCCTCTCAGCACGCGCATAACGGCATAAGTACGTGGGCAGTGGGCAGTGGGCAGTGGCCGCCCCAGTCACCGGCCCACCGCAGGCAGCAGCAGGCAGCACAGTCGCAACGGTGACGCAAGCAACTAAGCGAGAGCCGACGCGTAGAGGTGAGGGGCGTAGCGCCGGCGCCGAAGCAGTAGATTGTTTCGTCTGATATGCCGCGCAAGCGACAGAAGCGGGGGTGGGAGGGCGGAGACGGAGGCCGCGACGGCGACGATGACAGAGAGGAAGGCAGCGTAGCAGGCAGCGGAGGAGGCTCACCGCCGCAGCCGGCCGCTTCCTCCTCCGCGCAGGCGCTGAAGCGGCTGTGCCGCTTGCCGTCCGACCTGTGAGTATCGTTGACTTTCATGCTTCGATCTGACACAAACACTTGCAGTATTTGTTCTTTTCCCCGCGTTTGGTCCCCCAAATGAAAAGCTAATTCGCTGCTGCCGGAGTGCCGGAAATGTAATTTGCAGTGGGATTAGGGGCTGTAGTTGCAGTTGCAGCCATCACCAGGGACAGGGGCTCCCCACTGGCTGTCCCTGTGTGCAAGCGGTCAAGACAAGAATCAACGCTGCTATTAGCCGGGTAATGTAAAAAAAAAACTGATATATATATATAGGTTTATTTATTGAGTTTTTCTTTTATGTCACAGTAGAATGTTTGTTCAAGTGGTGTTTTGTAATTTAGCATGTCAATCATCCAAAATGTCAAAGGATTGGGGACAGGGTCTCAAGTTGTCGGTTGAATACTGATGATAATAATAATGACCCCACTAATTGACAGCCATCTTTGTTTCATTTCATTTCGTATCATCCATCTTTCTATTGCATTATAAAGTAAATTAGTATTCACATATCTATATTAATATAGATAATGAACATAACTGTGTCAGCAATACTGACTCCCTTCTTTTTTTCCTGTTCCTCCTTCATTTAATAGTTTATGGAAGAGGTGGCACAAGTACTTACAAGCTCCTGGAACCTTTCTCCTAATCCACAGTAAGTTTTGCGTTCCAAGTTTTTGCAGCCTGCATGGTTACATTCATGATCTGCATCTGCATCTCACTTGCAATGTCTACGCAGAGAGAGAATTGAACAGAACCTGCCTCCAACCTACAAACTCACCTTCGTGAATTCCATGAGCGACAAAATTTTTACAAAGAGGGAGGTCCGGGCAGCGGGTGGGGGTCACCTCATGATAAAATTGGCTGTAAGCAATCAGCAAGGTAGCAACTTTCCCCAGCTTCTCTCGGCCAATGTCAAGGTTTTGGTTCTGGATGGTGACTTCAATGCGGACAATCGTGAGTGCTGGACATCCGAGGAGTTTGAACACCATATAATGATCCCACGGGACAAAATTGGGGCGGTGCTTACAGGAAGCTGAAATTGAAACTGAAAAATGGTGAGGCCTACCTCGAAAACATTATTTTTTGTTGATAACTCCAAGTTCACAAGGAGTGGCAAGTTTAGGCTTGGGGTAATGCTTATTGATAATCATGGTGAAAGAGTTCAAGAAGCTATAACTGAACCTTTCACAGTGAAGGACCGCCGAGGGGAAGGTAATCCTGAAATTGAGTTTGGACTATTTTACCTTCAGTTTTGTGCTATTGGAAGTCAAAACATTTACTGATTAGTTTAAACATTTCTTATATCTGTAGGATACAAAAAATGTGATATTCCAACACTGGATGATGAAGTATGGCGCCTGGACAAGATTGCAAAAAAGGGTCCCTTCTGTAAGTCATTGGAGCAGAGAGGCATTACTTTGGTGAAGCACTTCCTGAGGCTGTATTATATGGATGAGAAAACACTGCGCAATGTAAGAGTAAAATTATGTTTGTATCTTTTTCTTGGTCAGATCTTGAATTCTTGATGATCATTGTCACCTTCTTGCTTCTAGATTCTCAGCAGTGCCTCAGATGCATTCTGGAAAAAGATGGTTAATCATGCTAAGAAGTGTGATCCTGGCACAGCCCTTTACTCTCACTTTATGGAAGACAAGAAAATTAGGCTGTACTTCACTTGTGTGGGTCAGATTGTAGGAGCAACAATAGCTGACCAGTATCATGTTTATGATGATCTTGATACAATTTGGAAGGTATTTTTCTGATGCTCACAGCTATATCAACTACCAAAAGAAATGGGAAGTTGGGGATAAGAAATTTTGCTTTATCTATATGTGAAGAAAACAATATTGGAAACTTTGAAAGAAATGTGTTAATATCTTTGTTTATACCATTTCAGGACCAAGTGAAAAAGTGGAGTAAGGATGCATATGAATGTATGGACTATCATCAACATGATTATGAAATGTATAATAGACAACCAAGAGCAATTAACTCCACTACTCTCCAGGGATCAATCATGTCACCAACTAAGCCTACTGGTCAAGATCTATTACACTATATTTTTTATTTGTGCGGAGATGGCTTATTGATTTATTGTAAAGTAGGGATCTTTATTGTCCTTCCAGGTCAAATTATTCATGAAACTGATGAACAAGATACTTCAGAGGTGAACCGAGTTTTTGGTGTATTCTCCCAGCAGTTTCCACTCCAGAGGATTGGGTCCAGGAGAGTAAGGGCGTTACCTTGTGTACAAGAAAACAATGAAACTGTAAGTGATATCCCTATTATTTTATACTGCATTAAATCGTAGAAAATTTCTTATACCTGGACTGAAATAGACATGGCCACAATTCAGAATAAACAAATGTTTGGTAGTTCTTTTAATTATATTTTAAATGCATTTAGAAACCAACAAATGCTTTGCAATCATTCTGATTTCCTTTTTAAGCATTATTTGAAACATTTAATACAATCAATATGCACTCTTTTTAGGATCTAAATTTCTGGTTGCTCCTATTGGATCCATCTCTCTGAAATCACTGACTGAAACACACTTTCACAGGGTGCATCTTTTGGCATTGCCGGGCAGCTGGATTCTGATGATGAAATCCAGCATGAAACTTCAGACCTAAATTGTATTACAGGTTCAGTGACACTCGAACCAGCTAGTGCAGCAAATGAAATAGGACCAATAGCCCTACTCAATTAATTGCATGCTATCATTCTTTTTTTCACTAAAGAAAAAAGTGGAAAGCAGTACACCAAATAGTGTCCCTTTTGCAGATTATCCAGTTTGCTGTACAGAGCAGGGGGGACCTTCTCAGTGCCCATTTCCTCCCTCTCTAACCGTGCCAGCTGATTGTCCTGGTTTCTCATTGCAACATAGCTTCAGCGAGAGTGACCTCCACGAGATAATGAAGATGTTGGAGCCAGATGAGCCACACGAAGAACTGCTCATCAATAAGATCTCTCAGTTTTCCACTGCCAATTTGAGCGACATGCCAGCTGATGTTCGCTGCTTCATGGTGAAGCTGCTCTCCTTCCCCAGGTGGATAAAATTGGCTGCTCCTGTGAAGTGGATGGCTATAATGTCTTCATCTAAGAAAATAAGGGCTGCAAAGGGCAAGGCTCATGCTTGAGCAAAAGATTGATGATATTTTGTCCTTTGTATATGGAGACTTAATTGTATTCAATTTTAATCTGTATTAATATGTGGTACTATATGTATAGTGTTAACTTCATATGCGTGATGTACTCATTTGGTGAGATTGGCATGTACCATAAACTGTACCACATTGTACTGCGTTATGGAACTAAGTAGTTTGGAAGAGCCTTGTGCTTAGTTGTATTAACCGTGTCAGTGAGGAAGTTGTAATGTGTGGTGGTGTTGGGGTTTAACACCCCAAGTTGTATTAATGTTATGCGCAAAGCATTTATCACCCTTAAAAAATTGTAATGCTATTAGTAGCTCCAAACTGTCTATAGAGAAATGAAAAAAAATGTAAAAGAATTGATTTATTGCATATTCCTGCTTCAAGTTCAATGTTTCTCAAATGATTTCATATAGGAAATATGAAATGCTCCAATGTGTCAGTACTCAGTAGCAGATCCGACGGGAGATCTTCATCTACAAAAGCAGCACCATACTTTGGCCATCATTCATGTAATTCTTTATCTATTTCTGATACCCTAATCTGAATGACACTATCTAGGATTCATCATCTGACAACCAGCGTCTACATGGATTCTAATTCTGCGTGCTACAACTTGTGCAACCAGCGTCACAGATACAGAGACAAGCATCCCTGGGAATGGATCGTGACACGCCTTTTAAGTTTGAACAGAACTGATAGTTTTAAAAAATAGAACTGATATTATATGTAAGGCATAACAAAAGCAATGGTTTTGGGGGCCTTAAAAAAGGAAGCGTCACTAGCATTTTGCTATGACAAAAAGACCGGCAAGACAAACTCTAGTTCCCACCACCAAAACATACCCCAGCATAGAGAGACAAGATGGCAGAGGGCGGAAGAGACCACACCCTCCACGGAATTTGAACAACCATACACAGGCATATATACCGAGCTGTGGAGAAACAATTTTCAGAGATGGCAGTCACGAAGATGCGCGAGGAGTTGCCGCCAGTGTAATAGGAAATGCAGCGCGAAGTTCCTGTTTGCAAAGAGAAGTTGAAGCCGTGTCAGAGAAACTAACCCTGCCTACAGCGTCTGAACACAGACAGAAAAAGGTCAAAAGAAAGAGACTTGATAAATGATAATCATCGTCCTATATTTTTGCACAGAAGCTGCAAGGATGACAGCACGAAAATACAGCGAAAAGACTCTGCCTTTCCACGATATCACCCATACATCTTCTCGGATTTTTCCTTGCCTCTATGACCAGGGATTCTAAAAGTTTTTGTGTTATTCGGGTGTTCATAGTTCACAATTAGCTAGTACTTCCTCTGTCATAAAACAATGCAATTCAAGTTAAACAATTCTAAATTTGATTAAATATATAAAAGAAGCACTAATTTTTTTATACTTATAGTCATAAATATTACTAATATCTTTTATAAACTTAGTAAAGTTTAATTTTTTACTAAATGAAAACCAAAAATTGTATCATTTCGGACAAAGTAGTATATATGACTATAAGATAAATGAACGCGTCGTGTGACAATAAACCTTTATAAACCCAGGTCTTTGGTCTTTAGTCTTGGGCCCCTTCCTCTCATCTTCACGCGTCGAGACCGCAGGGCGCAGGATAAGATAAATCTCTGCACTTCAATCGTTTACTAATGCTGGTCATTTCACAGTCATCGTCGTCGTGCCCTCCTTTTGCTACAGCCTACGTGGGAAGTTATCTTTTTTTTTTTGCCATTGAGGAGCTCAAATATATATAGACGGGTTAACAGGTTGTGTCCCCTATATAGTTGTCTTCGTGTCTTTCTTTCCAACCTCCACATTTCTAAATCCTTATTCACAGCATGTGCGTCGGAAAGAGGAAGCGACGCACAGACACACATCGAGTCGAGTTGTGAGTGAGTGGTGACCATCGTCTTCCATGGCAGACCTGCGCCGTTAGGGGAGGACGGTGGTCGCGAAGGACAGGCGGGTGTGGGCGGACGGCGCGGGCGGTGTTCTCACCCGCCCGCTGCGGCGGCGGTCGAGGTCGGCAGCGGCGGGGTGGAGGTGCTTAGGATTAGAGTTTGGCTTTGAGCTTTGGGGTTCTCCAATGTCCCCGGCCCTAGAGGGATGGCCGGGGGCGGCGGCCAGCTCGACGGCGGAGGCGAATTGTCAGGCGGTGAGGCAAGGTGGCGACGGAGCCGCCGGCCGGATGGTGAAGGATAACCGGTGGGCGGGGTCGGCGGCAGGGGCGAGGGACGTCAGAGTTAGGAAGGACAGGATAGAAACGGCGGGGGTGGGTGGTAGACGGCTCGGTGGGCGGTGTGGACGCCACCAACCGTCGGGGTGGCAGTGGGGAGGCGGCGGTCGGGAGAGGTCGAGTGGAAGAAGATGTGGCGGGAGGGAGGAGATGCGATGGGAGGAAGAAATGTGTGTCCGTATCCCAACTGACGCCCACACGTTGATTATGTGTTATCCTAAAACATTAGCCAAACACCAAAACACTCGAATACGTGGATTGCAGGAAGGAACACGTGATGCTGCCTGATGTCCTGATTTTCTTGCGGGTTCGCAGAAGTGGTAAACCGTAAACCTCAGGTGATGATGATAAATTCTGTGAACGGACCAACTCAGTTGGTTACGTGGTTCTAGTAGCTCTTCGTCTAAGGCCCGGTCTCATCGTGGTCCTTCAGATTTGGAGGTTTTCGATTTTCTCGACCTTAATATATAATGCCCGGAGGCTGTCTTACCTCCATAAATCGAGTTAATGGCAAACGTGTTAAGATGAAATAAGTTTGACCAATATGCTAGACTAAAGATGTTTGGTTGCACAACCCATATCGTTTGCTTGCACTGTTTACAAAATGATCCATTTCTAGGAAGTCCTTAAAAAGTTTTCATCTATAGCTAGCTCGGATGTCCAAAATACATCTGCATGAGCATTTTGATCCAAACGCTGGCTGCATGCATGCATCGGGCTACTACCTCCCACCTGTAAATAAAAGTACACATTCATAAAAAACGCAATCTAAAACTTAATATTGTTAGATTTAATATAGGCTTGGCCCATATTTTATTTAATTAAATCAAATAAATCCTTACCACTTAAGCCAATTATGGGCAGGAGTTACAAGAGTTTCTATTCATAAATGAGAGAGTTACAAGAGTTTCTGCTCCAAATGGCAAGAGTTACGGAAGTTTCTACTCCTAATAGCGAGAGTTACGGGAGTTTCCGCTCATGATGACGGAAGTTTCTTTCCTGAGCGTCTCTTCCACTCCATACTCTTGATCACTTGTGCCCTCACTCGGCTTCCTGGCTACGTGATAAAAGCAAGACACGCTTTAACATTCAGACGAGCTCTAGTCTCTCTCGTACACGTACCTCATCAGTCTCTGCCGAGTTGCCTTAGAGCTTTCCCGTCCCAATTCTCTACGCGCACGAAGAGTTGGGAGAACAGGCCTCCAGAACCGCCGTCCGTCAAGCGACACCTGCTCGGGTGTGCGGGCGATTAGGTTTTTGGGGAGCGTCTCCACGACTGCTCGCTTCTTCAAATCGTCTTTGTCTTCTTCCTAGTGTCCGTCGACATCGTCTTCTTCTTCTTCGTCTTCGGGATCGTCATCTTCTTCCTGGTGGACGTTCGAGGGACGGCACTGCGAACACCTTCCTGCATCAACTGTGGTCCGCGACTTCAAGCAACACACTATGGCGACTAGTGCGATTAGAGCCACCGGTGCCTTGAGCATGGGTCCCGTCGCAGGGTATAATCCTATCCTTGATGTTGTTAAATTCAATATCAGTTTTTTCGCTATGATCAGTATGTTGTGACTAATCCGGTTTTGTGATGATATCTCGTTTGCTGTGAGCAAACTAAGCCGGTTTTATGACCAATCCGGGAGATAATCATTGGCGTGCTCTTGAGAGAGTAATGCGCTACCTGAAAGGTACTGTGGGCTATGGCACTCACTATACCGGGTACCTAAAGGTACTAGAGGGTTATTGTGATGCGAACTGGATATCTGATGCTGAAGAGGTTCATGCCATGAGTGGATATGTGTTTCTGCTTGGAGGTGGCACTATTTCATGAAAGTCTTGCAAGCAGACCATCTTAACGAGGTCAACCATTGAAGCAGAACTCACAACATTAGGCACCGCCGACGTTGAGGCTGAGTGGCTTCGTGAACTCCTAATGGATTTACCGGTAGTACAAAAACCTATACCAGCTATTTCTATGAATTGTGATAACTAGACTATGATAATCAAGGTAAACAGTTCTAAGGATAACATGAAGTCCACAAGGCCTGTTAAGAGGCGGCTAAAATCTGTTAGAAAATTGAGAAACTCCGGAGTAATAGCGTTGAACTATGTCCATACGTCTAAAAATTTGGTGGATCAATTCACTAAGGGACTATCACATAATGTGATAGATGGTGCATCGAGTGAGATGGACCCGAGACCCACATGAAGTCTACTATGATGGTAACATGTTCTATGTGATCGAGATCCTATGAAGTAGGGACGATGAAACAAGGGGTAGACTGTGAGGAAAGACCCTTAACTTGGCCCATGTTAGATGCACGTCTTTCCTATGATGTAAGGCAGGTTGGTTTTTACCTTAATGTGTTCCAAGTGGCTTGTTGAAGCAAACATATTGTGCTCTGAGAACATCTTTTGAGAACGCACCTATATGAGTCCAACTGCACTCACAATCTATGAGATTTGGGTCATCTTTAGATACTCATGAAAGGCCAAGGAGTATGACTTATATGCTCCAAATAGAGGGAATGCTTTTTGCAACCTAGTATCAGTAAAAAACTTAGGTGAAACTTATTTCGCACAAAACTGTCAATTTAAGGTATAGTCCATTGTTCAGTTGTGAAGAAGTGAAACATTTATTCTAGGTGGATGTTCAACTTAACGGTCTCCCATTGAAACACTAGTATATCAAACAGCAGAGATTTGAGAGCATTTTATATGTGCCCTAAAATTTGGTGGAGATTGTTAGATTTAATAT